TGTATAATAAAAAACTTAGAATACATACGTATGCATTATAGTCGCATCAGACATATCAAATGTTAAAGAGCAAGCGATAAAACAGCGCTTCTCCATACCCATCATTTTTCAGACAATCCTGGACAAAACGTTGTGGACAACCCACAGACATTGGCCTCGAATGGCGTTTTTTCTAAACAATTATTCCCCTTCTCCCCCAAACCAATGTTGAATGGGATTTTTCATGAAATACGAAGTGTGGTTAAGTCGGACATGCAACATTGAAGAGGGGGAGTGGGGGATGTGCAAGTAAATTCAAGTTTTAGGTGTTTGTTATGATTTTTGCAAAAGTGGATTAAGTGTCCACATAAGCTTTGGCCCGGATTGTACCTATTGTTCACATTTGTAACTTAGAAGATTCTAAAGAATATAATAATCAAGCAAATAATGATAACATTGACTCAGACTTTAAAAGAATTATTAACAATAAAAATATAAATTCTTTCATTAATGAAATTAAAAACATTTCGTGGAATAATGTACTTACTAATACAAACAGTGGCGTGCTGGCAGGGGGGGCTGGGGGGCCATGCCCCCCCCCCAGCTGGCAATTTTGGGGGGCGCAAAAATGAAAAGGGGGCGCCGATCCCACGCCAAATTTTGAAAGTGGGTGGGAAGAAACGCATTCGAAAAAATATAGTTACTAATTCCGCCAAGGCAAGATGTGTTTATAGACTTACAAACACTAAGCGCATAGGCGACAAAGTGAGTATATTAAATTGCAGGCTGCTTTGTCCAACCGTATTTGCTACCTCACGATTCACACGAAATCACTCGTTCATATAGAAACATGATTAGTGATCACATGCAATGTCTCATTACCGGAATATTGATCAGGCTTCGAAGCGATCACGGGAATTATGCCATTTTTTGCTGGTATTATACCCTTATATTATGCCCTTTATTATGCTTCACGAATCACGAGAGCTACGCAAATTAGATAGTTGAAGTTATGATAATGTAAAGTTGTGTACGCAATTTAGTTGTTTGCGCAAGAAACATCATGAGTAATGAAAGTAATGAGATATAATGCTGAAACGCGCCCTTTTGGCAGACAGGCAAGAAAACCTTAAAATGCATATGCGTGGACTTTAAAATGCATATGCGCGGGGTCTGTGTGTTATTGTATAAAAGAGCTGCAAGTTGTCAATGTATTCAGATCAGTAGAGAATAGAATTGGGATTAGATTAATTGCTGGAAGTAGTTAGCATTGCCCAATTTAAGTACTACTAATAAATTCTAACCAATTTGCAAATTTCGACACGTTGTAATGCCGTTTCCTGACCATCAGATTTCTGTCAAATCTTCCTCCAAAGTCCAGGAAATGGCATTTCAGAGACTCTAAATTCAAAAATTTTGCCGGGGGCATGCCCCCGGACTCCCCTAGACAAGCCTCGCACCTACGGCGCTCGACTCGTGTCTTCGGCCCTCGTTTATCAAGCGTAATATTATAGGGGCGCATATTGGTTGCCAGCCGACTGGCCCCCCCCCCCAGAAAAATAGTACCCAGCACGCCACTGAATACAAACCCTGAAAGTGCCTTCAATGAATTTTCTAAACAATTTACAACAATTTATGAAAACAATTTTCCGATTAGGAAGAAGTCACGTAAAAATAAAATAAACTCAGCAAAAAGTCCTTGGATGACAAGTGGCGTGCTCAGGTCAATAAAGAGAAAAAACACACTTTACAAACATTATTTAACAAATCCTTGCAAAAAGAATGAAAACAAATATAAAACGTATAAAAACAAATTAAATCATACAATAAAAATCTCTAAAAAGTTATATTACGAGGAACAATTAATAAAATATAAACATAACTCAAAAATGATATGGAAAACTTTAAACGAAATACTTAATAAAAAATTAAAAATAAAAGAGCTACCCAAGATTTTTCTTGACACTGACTCTTCAAATGAAATTAAGGATCCAAAAATAATGTCTAATAAATTTAATGAATACTTTACCAACATTGGGCCTAATCTAGCTAAGAACTTCGGGAATGATGTAAATGCAAGTTTTGAAAAATATCTTACTGGCGACTATCAAAAAAGCATTTTTTTAGCACCAGTAACTGAGAATGAGCTAGAAACAGAAATTAAAAACATGGACTCAAATAAAAGTCCAGGATACGATAATATTAGTAGTAAGATAATAAAATTATCGGCGGGAGAAATTACAAAACCACTTACCCATATATTTAATTTAACATTTGTAAATGGAATTATTCCTGAAAATTTAAAATTAGAAATAGTAACACCAATCTTTAAAGCAGATGAAAATAACAAGTTTAAAAATTACAGACCAATTTCAGTTCTTTCTTGCTTTTCTAAACTACTTGAAAAGCTAATGTATAACAGATTAATTAGTTTCATTGATAAAAACCAAATTCTATCCAAGCACCAATATGGTTTTAGGAAAAATAGATCAACCGAACTTGCAATAATTGAACTTGTTGAAAAAATTACAAAAGGTATAGATTGAGGGAAATATACAATAGGTATTTTCCTTGATCTATCAAAGGCATTCGACACAATTAACCACGGGATTCTGATTAAAAAGCTAAAATATTATGGTATAAGAGTTAACTGTCTAGAATGGTTTAAAAATTATTTGGAGAATAGAAAACAAATCGTCAAGTACAACAATGTAAAATCAAATTAAATGATAATAAAAAGTGGTGTCCCACAAGGATCAATACTTGGGCCACTGTTGTTTCTATTATATATAAATGATATTCAAAACTGCAGTAAAATAGTTTCTATTATTCTATTTGCAGATGATACTAATGTATTTTATAGTCATACCTGTCTAAAAACACTTAATGAAGTAATGCAAATAGAAATCAATAAAATATCGGATTGGCTGAATATAAATAAATTATCTATAAACACGGCGAAAACTAAATTTATGTTATTTAGATCATCGAAGAAAAAACAAAGACATAATGTAACTATTTCTATAAATGAACAAATAATTAAGCAATTTAAAGACACCACATTTCTAGGCGTTGTTATTGACAAGTGCTTAACCTGGAAAGAACATACTAATTTAATCTCTAAAAAAATTATAAAAGCATCAAGTATCATTTCCAGAATACGTCATTTTACTAATCTTAATACTCTGAAGCTAGTTTATTATGCACTGGTCTATCCATATCTGGTTTATGGGAACCTAATCTGGGGTAATACGTATAAAACTAGAATTCAAAAGATAATGAATATACAAAAGAAAATTATGCGCATAATGACTTTTAGGTCATACTCTGAACACACTGAAACTATTTTCAAACATTTAGAAATACTAAACATTTTTCAAGTGAATGACTTTTTAACCAGTTTATTCATGTTTCGATATTTTGACTTAAAAAATTTACCCGAAGCATTCACCAACTATTTCACACTTAATAATGATGTTCATCAACACAATACAAGGAAAAAATCACAGCTTCATATATCTTATAAAAGAACCAATTATGTAAAACATACTCTTTCAAACAAGGGAGTTGATATTTGGAATGGTTTAGAAAAAAAATATAAAAATATTAGATCCCTTCAATCTTTTAAAAAAATAATTAAAAAGCACCTCTTACAAAACTGCAGTACTTAATCTTAGACTTAATAGACTAAACTCCAATTTCATGTATTTTGAACTTTTTGAAGTTTCTATACGTATACATTGCAACTATATATATATGTATACATATGCGTGTATATACGTGTGTGTATATGTGTATATTATATATATGTTAACATGTACTAGGTAGTGGTTATACATGTAATTTACGTTGCTACTATGTATAATCAATTGAACAATCAACTTTGTATATAAGATTATAGACTATAGTTATTAATTGTTTTGTTTTGAAAGTTTTGAACTGCCAAAAACTATAAATAGTTAATCCTAATCTAGGGGCCTTAATAAAAAGCCTGTCAAGGTTTCTAGTAGGCTCCTAGCCCTTATAATAATATAATATTGTAAATAGCTTAATATATATTTTACATCTTTTTTTTTTGGGGGGGGGGGCAAATTAAAATAAATAAATAAAAATAAATAAAATAACTGCTCTGGCGATATGCCCGCACGAATCAATCACTTGCCCATTTGAACAGTCCTGCTTTCGCGTCTATGACTATAACATCTTTAAAATTTTTCAACGTATTTTAAGCCAAAGTCACTACGCGCGAACGAAAGTGCAAACGAAAATCTTTAATACTAACCGGATATAGAATTGCGTGCCTTTTGAGATATATATTACAGTAAAATGTAGTAAACGGCCAAGCAGCAGAACGTTTTATACTAATAACCTTTGTCCAAATCTCAAATATACATGTCTGTAGCAATAATAGTCACATGGTAATTTTAATTATCTAGATTTACACAATTTAACAAGAACGCAAAAATAAATAGTGAAAACAAGTATGATTGCATATTTCAATATGCTAGAAGCCACTATTCACTAACTGCGTTAGCAATATGCCCGCACGCGAAATCACTTGCCCATTTGATCCATCTGACAAATATTTTTTCAACAGAAAACACGGTGTCCAATGGATCCAATGGATCCATTGAACACTTTCGTTTGGCTATCTCAATGGCAGCATACTATCTACATGACGTCCATCTGCTTCTCATTACGTCATTCAAATACATGTTAATTGACCAACGGAAAAAGCAAATTTCCGATGGAAATTCCACTTGTCCATTGGATCCAATGGACAATTAGAGATCCATTTGACAAATGGAATGTCCAATGGCCTTTTGATTTTTCCATCGGACATCTTGCATGGGTATTGGACATTAATCCCCAACGGACCATAAATTCGATTTCTGTGTTTATATCTGGAGTCCCAGAGGTTCACAGCAAAGGCTGATAAAGTTTCACTGTAAAGTGGATGCGAAAAAGGCCAGAAGAACGCGAAAAGTTCGCTAACACGTCGCAATAATAATTTATACAGCATGATTGAAAACAACCGGCCTGTTGAAGAGATAACAGAAGCGCTAGAACTAGTAGAAATAGACTATAAAACTGTCGTAGAAAAGCACGAGGCTTTAGTAGAAAAGGTCGATGACGAAGAATTTGCTAAGGAAGAAAAATGGATCGAAGATTGCCGTGAGAAAACATTAATTTTGAAATTCAGAGCGAAAGATTATATTTTGAAATCAAAACAGGAACAGGTCACCCAAGACACATGCGCAGAATATGATATAGCTAAGTAAACACAGGAAACCCAAGAAAATAACGGAAAAAATACCAACACAGCTATTATAGAGAATCAAATACCAGAACAAAACACAGATAGCAATTCTCAAGATGTAGAAATTACCGAAGAAACAGAACAAACAGTTCAGGAACTGACACCCCAACCGGCAGTGCAGCAAATGGATAATAATGCAGAGAGTCCAACCAGTAACAAGGAAATTTTAAAACTCCTTTTCGACAAGTAGTTTCGTATTACATTACGATTTAATTTTTCTAATGTAAATATCGCGGCAACAAATATCGCGGCAACAATATGAGCACAACAAGTGGGTGGAGTTGTTCGCACAAATGAATGAGTTAAACGGTGTCACGATTGAAAGATGTCTGACTCCTCCCAACGCATTTGGAAACCCAGTTCTGTGTGTATTCTAGTATGCATCTATCGAAGCATTTGGAACTTGTGCTTACAGTAGATGGCCCCTCGGGGACGGCACGTTTGGTGTTACGTTTATCGCAGCGAAATCAAGAGTAGCACCTTTGAAACAGCTTACAATTCCACGACTGGAGTTGCAGGCAGCAGTATTGGCTACACGTCTAGGGAAAACGATCGCAGAAGAATCCAGATTCCAATTTGAAAAAGTCGTATATTTTCTGGATAGCATGATTGTGTTGGCATTGATTCGCTCGCAAGCTAGATAATTCAAAACATTCGTGTCGACCAGAATAGGAGAAATTCAAAGCAATTCTGATACACTCCAATGGAAGCATATCCCCGGAGAAGTGAATGTAGCAGATGCCGTATCTAGAGGCATATCAGTGCAAGATTTAACTCAAAGATGGAAATCCGGACCCGATTTTCTTAGCCACCCAGAAGAACAATGGCCTGAAGCCATTTCAGCTGCAGTAGAAGAAAAAGAAGTAAACACGGAACGTCGTAAAACACCAGTTGTTTGCACCGTAAGCACGACGAAAGAAGCGATATGTTGTACGAACATTTCAAGTTGGCGAAAACTAGTAGAAGTAACTGTTCGAATACAGAAACTCGGAGCAAAAGTACGAAGCAAGCGAGAAGGAAGTAACGCAACCATCGAAACAGAAAATCACGGAACTCTCACCCCAAATGACCTGTACAAACCCGAAGTGTATTGGATCAAACAAGCGCAGAAAGGTATTCACAGCAGAATAAAGAATGGCGAATTGAAGCAGTTTAGCCCTTTCGTAGATGATGAAGGAATTATCAGAGTCGGAGGTCGTTTGAGCAAAGCAATGGTGACGTACGACTGCAAACATCCCGCAATGCTGCCATACAAACATTGGGTATCCCTGTTGATAACGCGTCACATACATCAACGAGGACATTCTGGTATCGCTTCAACCACTGCCAAAATTCGAAGAAAGTTTTGGATTCTACGAGCGCATAATCTGGCTAAGAAAGTGAAACACGAATGCGTATTCTGCAAAAGAACGGAACACAAGTTAGAAACTCAACTGATAGCAGATCTCCCGGAAAAACGATTAGCACCCCAGAAGCCGCCGTTTTATCATACTTCTTGTGATTACTTTGGCCCTTACGCAGTGAAACTCGGAAGAAACAAGACAGCAAAACACTACGGAGTGATCTTTAAGTGTCTCAACACTAGAGCAATTCATTTAGAATTGGCTGTCGACTATTCCACGATGAGTTACATGCAAGTTCTCAGAAGATTTTTTTCCATCAGAGGATGTCAAAAATTTATCCTCAGTGACAATGGAACCCAGTTAGTTAGTGCTTCAAGAGAGTTACGAGAGATGATACAAGGTTGGGACATCAAAACACTTCGTGATTTCTGTGCTGAAAATGGAATGGTATGGGGTCTCTGAATCTTTGGTGAAGAGCAGTAAACACGCGTTAAAGATTAAGCAATCGGAGAGCAAATACTAACACCATTCGAGTTGTACACGTGCTTGTTAGAAATTGCAAATCTGGTTAATCAGCGACCGATTGGCCTCATTCCAAACGACCCGGATGACGGATCGTATTTGTGTCCAAACGACATGTTGCTTGGTCGTTCCTCGTCCAACGTACCGCAAGGTCCATTCAAAGCTACCAAGAACCCAAGAGATCGTGTAGAATTTGTGCAGAGAATCGTAGATTCGTTTTGGGTCAGATGGACAACCGATGTTTTTCCGTCACTTATCCCATGAAAGAAGTGGAGCGTAGATCGTAGAAATGTCCAAGTGAACGACGTGGTGATGACAGTGGATACAAATGCTGTAAGAGAAAAATGGACTATCGGACGAATCACAAAAGTACATCCTGGATCTGATGGCAAAGTGCGAAACGTGACATTGAAGACCCCTACTGGAGAATACCGAAGATCAGGACCTTTTTTTAAGGATTTTCCCGTGGGGGGGGGGGCATTTTTTGAAAAGTGACCTTTCTGTGAGATAATATATTACAGGGAGATAGCAATGTCTGAAGGCCACGTGTGCGCCGAACATACCATGCGCGCATGAATGAGGAGGGTGTACTCCCCCAGAAAATTTTTGAAATTTGAAGCACAGAAATGCCATTTCCTGCATTCTGAGCATCCAAATGCGCTCCAAAATGTATACTAACTATACTTGTATTTGAAATAAAAGAAGGAAAAAACCCACAAACAAAAAGTTTAAAAAAATATTAACCATAATTTATCATTACTTATTAGAGGAGGATCCCAATGGTCACGTGTGTGGGGGTGTACTCCCCCAGAAAATTTTTGAAATTTGAAACACGGAAATGCAATTTCCTGCATTCTGAGCATCCAAATTTGCTCTAAAATTTATGCTAACTATATTTGTATTTGAAATAAAAGAAGGAAAAAATGCACAAAAAGTAAAAAAGAATATTAACCGTAATTTATCATTATACTTATTAGAGGGGGATACCAATGGCCGAAGGCCACGTGTGTGGGGGCATAATCTCCAGAAAATTTTTCAAATTTGAAACCTGGAAATGCTCTTTCCTGCATTCTGAGCAACCAAAAAATAAAAAATTATTAACAATAATTTATCATTACTTAGTGGTAGAAAAACGTAACAATTTAAATCGATTTTGTTAAACAAGGACAAAGGATAAAGCTTAAAACTAACTTTCCGTTTATTTATTTGTTATTCTTCGCTGTTTTTTTGGTATACATTTAGGAAAAAGGGACTTTTCCTGGGGGGGACAAAATGTGATTTCGTGGGGGGGGGGCACATGGGGGGAATGGGGGGCAAATGCCCCGCAGCTTGTATGTTAAAAAAGGCCCTGCCGAAGATCGCAGTGATCTACCCTAACGAAGGATATGGCGGTGACGATGTCGTCATCGGCGGGGGAGAATGTTGCGAACAGTGACGTAATGTATATATTTATTTATGTAATATATTCAGATTAGCCATTCTTAATTATGCTAAGATATATGTTATAAGGTTTGTAATAGCGACTTGAAAGTATATCGGACACGTTAGATATATCGGACGAATTATTTGTTGTTGAAGAGGATTGTTCAAAGACTCGCCAAGAAGTAAGTTACTGAGAAAGAACACGTATGTACCATTTCTACTTTACTTACATTAGTTTTATCTTTTTATACTTTTAGATCGAATAAAATTATTGACATATTTAATACGTTGAATTGACTATACGAATCCGCGGGTCTTTGTCGGTAATATATTGAGTTCTGTCGAACCCAACGGACCAGTCTACAACTATACATATTATACCTCAAATTCAAATTGTCCAATCAAGAAGCTTAGTTTGTGCCACGTGAGCATGAAATTAATCGCGATATCACGCCTTACGTCATCAATTAGCGAGCCTGCGTTCTTTTTGACATTGTTCCACCCCATGTTCCTCGGGGAACATGGGGTGGAACATTATTCGCGTAGACCACGGGAGACAACACGCATGACAACAACATGGCCGACAAAATATAAATAGTATTGATGAGTGATGAATAATCTGGGTAAATGATGTAAAACCTGGGGCCGGGGCTTTTTCAAAATTTTGAAGTAAATTTTGAAAAATGTTGTCATTAATATTCCAAACGATATGTGATTCGAAAGAAAAGCGACGATACTTGCGTTAATCCGAAAATAAAACATCGTATTCACGAAGGTATGTGTCAAGTTTTTATTTCTCAACTTGGAGGCTTTTAATTTTCGGTATAATATATCAAGCCCCTCGGGAAATATCATCACTTCGGGTAATATTTCGCCGAATCCCCCTCGCTCCAGGTCTATAAATGATAAATATTCAACGGGTATATAAGAGTTTGACTGTTATTTGATAATTACTGCATCAACAGGCCCCTAGTTTATACTTTGGAGGTTCGTATATCTATCAAGTATCTTTGGTTCAGAACATGATAGGCCTATATGAAAATCCCACCCTTCGATTCAGTGAAGAAATATCTCCTAATTTCTATCGATAGGTTTAGTAAAATGTCATGAATATTACTGCGATTTATGGCCTTTGAATGTCAAGGGAGATCGTATATTATCAAATTAATACGCATGTAATTGTCTGAATGAAAATATAGACTAACCCATACCTTTCGCCGATCATAACTTCGACCCCTTCGGAGGTATCATCTTTGTTAAATATTCTTGTTCGAGTCGCTATCAAAAACACTACTTAGAGTGTTATTTTTCAGCTTGTATCTTTAAATTTGCTTCTTTTATTATGGTATTCCATTTCTGGTCTGACTTGACGTGAACTAATTTCAAAACGCAGAGTTTCAAAACGTCAAAACATTTGGTTAATGATTAACATTTAACGAATTTAGCCGTTGATTGACAACTACATAAAAATACTAACCAATCCGTTTTTTCCGTTCACCAGCGGACGGGTAATTCAAAAACCCCTAGTTTTGCGGCAGACGGTCTTTCCTTTGACGCCCTAATTTTCGCTGCCTGTAGAAATACCGCCTGCCATGCAGGCTATCAATCAGTGTACAGTATGTCAAGAGGCATGGCCTTTGAAATCCAAACCAAGATCACTTTATATGTGTTTACAATGCTCAAGAGATAAAAAAATCTCCGAAAAAATTTTCATCTTAAAATTCAATGATACCGTCATTTGCGCCGCATGATGAAGAAATGTTAATTGCTCGTGCTCTTCTTATCATGAGAGCTTATATTAAACTTGGCGGCCAACGAGGTTATTCAGAGCATTGTGTTAACATTCCACAAAATGTCAAAGGACTTGCAACATCTTTTCCAAGCACCCTAAAGACCTGGCAGTTGTTATTGTCCTGAGGTTAAACATAGAGACAATACCTTTAAAAATGTGATAGTGCGAAAACCGTAAGTGCAAAATGCGTTAGTTTGGCTTATAAACATAATCAACATTATTATGGGTTAACAATTAATGATAATGCACTCAATTCATTACCTGAGAATGGTGTACCACCAGATATTATGACTGTTGAGACTGTTGATGATATAGTCTCAGATGACAATTGTTCACCTTATGCTCATGCACTCCCACTGACAATACCAAAGAGGATAATGCTTACAATGACTCTACTGAAATGAGTAGTTTTCTACCTATTTGTGAACAACAACGAAAGGAAATTGAAGTGTTAGAAATCAGCTTTCTGAAAATGAATCGATGCAATGGCCCCCCCATATGAGTATCATTTATCGCATCTTGGCGCAATGGCATTTCCAACATTATTTCCTGATAGGAAAGGTGACCCACTAACCATGGACTGCTAAGAGGTGATGTAGAAAAGTCTAGACAATCATTTCACGGCAGCTTGAAAGAGAATCACAGAATTAGTAATATTCCGAAGTTTCGTTGCAAAATGTTATAAAATGCGGATAATATAGCACTGCGAAGTTTGCCGTTCTACAGTCATTTTGTATTACGCAATTGGGAAATTGATACCGCTTTCTGAAAAAAAGGTATCAATTTTCCTAGCGCGCCATGCGCGTTTTCCCTGATTTCCCCCGGAAAAAGAAAATCACGGAATAGAGATCAAACCTTGTAATATTAACGAAAAAATACACACACATTAAATATTGTTTAAAACACATTGTACATTTTGCTTGCTCATATGCTAAGTCACTTCAATTCATTGGCTATTGCTTCAAAGTAGCGTTTTGACGTTTAATTCTACTTACTATAGAAATACATGTATACAATGACCGTTCGCCTATATTTTTCAAACATTGCCTCAACATGATGTATTTGTTATTATGTCAACACTGAACGCAGACTCGCGTTCTCACGTCCTGTTAGTCATAGCACACGATAATTGTTTTTAACCTTTTTCTACCTTGCAATTTGAACAATTTTAAATACAGAACTATCAATTTATAAAATATATAAAGTAGGTGTGTATATTAATATTAAGCTAATAAACTCTTCAACTCTAGCTTCAATTTATTACTCGCACTTTGAAATGAAATAAATTTAATTCTTGCAGGACGCTTATGAACATAATTTGCATTATTTTCTATCATGAACTTCTACAAAAGTTAATTTAACTACGAAACTTTCGCATACAATGTATAGAAAAAGACTTGAACAACAAGAATAAAGTCTATATTTATCGCCGAGACAACGGCGCGAAGCGCCGTTTCGTGCGTAAGCCAGGTGCGAGGGTTCTAATTCTGGGCGGCTATTTACACCAGGGGAGAGGAAAGCATTAGCGAAGTCTAAAGTTCATGAATAATCGCAGGTCACAGTGTGAGGGTGGCATTGAGCTATACTATATCACTGGAGGGCCCGCTCGGCATAAAAAAGTGTCCGCATAAACATGGCGGATCGACTTCATTGCCATGACTACTGATCCCTACATTCATGGGAGACAGACAGACAGACAGACAGACAGACAGACAGACAGACAGACAGACAGACAGACAGACAGACAGACAGACAGACAGACAGACAGACAGACAGACAGACACAACAGACAGACAGACAGACAGACAGACAGACAGACAGACAGACAGACAGACAGACAGACAGACAGACAGACAGACAGACAGACAGACAGACAGACAGACAGACAGACAGACAGACAGACAGACAGACAGACAGACAGACAGACAGACAACCTCGTTCCCAGGCTCTTTGCTCTTGGGAAGCAAAGACCCTGGCTGGGGCTGGTCACGTGGCACGCGGAAATTTGATCGCCCAAGGGGGAGTACGCAAAGTATCAAATTACATGCTTCCACTTCCGCACTTTACACTTCGATTGCAAGGAGTGAGAGTGTTCTGTACAATCAACTTTGAGAATCATGTGAAATTTAAATACTTGCTAAATTTGGTTCCTGTTTGATTTTAAATTATAAAAAACATGCTAAACATATTTTTATAGCAACAGACAAGTCAGGAAGTCAAGCAATAAAAACGTATGATCGTATGCTTTGAAATTGTTCTAATGTTCTCTCGAGGCCTCTGGCGAATTTTCATTTCACACGTTTCTGTTTTGCCTCTGGTTCACTTCACATATTTATACTATTCTTATAATATGCCGTTAGCGTTATTTGGAAACGGTATATTTATCTTTGAATTGATTTACTTGTTAATTTCAACACAATACTGTGGTAGGTCGTAGCTCCTTTTGAGCTTTGAGGTCTTCTCGCGCACACGCTTTATATAAATAGATACAAGCCAAATGGACATTGAATCTCTGTTGATTGATTTATTGATTCAAAAATTGTTTATAGACATCGCATATTTTTTTTAATACGTTAATTTATTGTATAATTCATCGTTTGGATTAAACACTAGGTAGTAAGGAGTGTATAAGGTACAAAAATTGTTAGGGAATCTACAGTATAGAATTTAGATAACTAATATGCTTTTCCTATTTTGTCTCCACGCGAGTATAATAATGGCAAAATAGTGCACAGTATGTCCTATAATATATAATTCAATATTCATTTACCCTCGTCTTTTATACCTTGCCCATTGGCATTGAATGCAAAAGAATAACAGCAGATATAATAGAAAAATACTTTCCTATATAAAACCTTATAACGGTATAAAGTGCCTCTACACTTTGTCAGGGTCATATTATACATAATTTATATAAGTCCCAAATAGACACAGCATTACTCGATAAGTTTTTATAAGCATTTAAAAGTTTCTATTGATACATCGGCTGTTTGTCTCTAGCATACTTGGATGAAAACCTCTAAAATATGATGAAGATTGAAGTTGATATAAATATTGATTAACACAGCAGCATGATTCAGGTCGAAAAAAGCAGGATTATTGATTATTCTGCTATAAAAGGCCAATCGCAATGCCAATAAAGGTCTTTATAAGATTTATGATGTGCCTGCTAAGATTGCTGCACGTAAAACATGATATATTAAATATACTATAAAATAAAATAAAATACTTGTGTCTGATGTTTAACTGTATGTATCGTATTGTATATTATCGTTGTACCGCATAGCCATAGCACGCACGGAGAAGTCTTGGCGTAAACGATTGGCGTTCATAAGATAACCAATAGAGTTCACTGGTGAAAACAGATAGCCATACTTCGAAATAAGTCTTGCTCGTTGAGTTTCAGCAATGTCCAGAGAGCAATGTCAATGCAAGGAATTTTATAGTCCATAACAACACGGGTTTTAATCCTGTGCTATCACAAGTCAAGATACAGTAGCATTATTTACAAACAGTTGGCGATGTTTCGGAAACCAAAAGATCACGTTATAAAAAAATCCGCTTGAATATCGGACAGGATACACTTTAATTTAACGGCCAGATCGTTCGTTTGATCGGTCGGTCGGTGTGGAAGATATTAAAGTAGCTTCTACGATGAAGCGTGCTCAACTTCGCAAGCTGTAGGTAGCGTGTGGTGTTCTTTCCTTGCAATTGAAATATGATTCAGCTTCTTGTTTGAAATGTAACTCAACACTCATTATTGATGACATTGATATAGCAGAAAGTCGTGTCATGATAAATAGAATTTTTAGTAAACAGTTTATTTCACGATTTCTTGTTGCAAATTACATTTTTATCACCAGAAACTAGAACACATAAGTTGCAATTTTCCAAACACGACAAACCACTCCTCTACCACCCTACCCATAGACACAATTTATTTTAGCACGCAGAATCTGCGTGCCACGTGACCAGCCCCTGCCAGGGTCTTTGCTTCCCAAGAGCAAAGAGCCTGGGAACGAGGTTGACAGACAGACAGACAGACAGACAGACAGACAGACAGACAGACAGACAGACAGACAGACAGACAGACAGACAGACAGACAGACAGACAGACAAACAGACAGACAGACAGACAGACAGACAGACAGACAGACAGACAGACAGACAGACAGACAGACAGACAGACAGACAGACAGACAGACAGACAGACAGCAGCCACTGTCCCAACCGCGATCAAACGCTTCGAACGATTTCCTTCACCTCACCCCCACGGTTTTAGCACTAATGTTTTGTTTTTGAGGTAAAAATCGCACTGAAAATCGTGATATTTTTATTCTAATTTGCTTGACTTACAACGGATACTGCCTTTTTGCGACGAGATTATTTTGTGACGACTTCAACAGGGTATATCGTCTGAATTAAAGGGAGTTAAATATACTCATCGATCGAGATATCTACATTAGAAACACTTGAATCGTAAAATAGCAAATGGGGGCAGGTCGAAAACAGGTCGGAAATAGTAAAATAGTTTATATAAAACTTGGAATCAACAAAAAAATTTGGTTGTTGTATTAACATATTTCTTCAATCTGTCTTCCAGGAAATTCGTGTTGATGGCGCCAGTATGATGTTAGACTCCTTTAAGAAAGACTCAGTGTCTGGTCATATATACTCACTGCCGCAAGGTATCGAAGTGATTTGTGACAACAAGAAAGAACATGGTATCTTGGAGGTCAGATCGAAGGCAACAGCACACTACCGAGTCTCAAGAGGCGGTCACAGAATTATTCTATGGAACAATTCTCCCATAACTAACCCTCTTGAAAGCGACAAGAAATTTCGAAAAGAGAAGAAAAGACTGGAGAAACACATTGCCAGCGTTTTCGAAGGCAAAGGGAGGGGATTATTTTCGATTGACTTCAGCCAATGCGAGGTGAAGACAAACATGATCAATCAATGCCAGATTTCCAGTTACATTCCGAATTGTTTCAATCCAATCGTCTTTCAACCATTCGCCTTTTTTATAGATGGCGTAAGATCAGGCGGTGCGTATTTCACGGTATCGTCGACCCTTCCTCTTCAAAGCGAGAAAACAATTAATTTGAAGTGCCACGCCGTCCAGAAAGTTATCACTGGTTTATGTCTTCGTCCAAACTTGCTAATGATAACCGAGAAAGGTGATTATGCCGATCTGGTTGATATGATCCACTTGAACGTCCCCCAGTTTCAGGAAAAGAAGATAGTCGACTTCAAGAAAATCGATGGAATACATCCTTACGAGACGGCAAACGTGGAGATGCTGCAGAATCTTTTGCCTTTTTTCACTACTATTTCTCAAACTGGATCACCTGCCCTGTTTTTTCACTTACCCCTCACAGAGTTCCTCATTCACGGAATAAGCATATTCTTGGCAGGAAACATGACCCTTGAAGCACTCGATGTTTACGCCAACCTCCTTGTCAACTACGCATCAGGACTGCAGCGGAAGCTGTTGGCATGCCTAGAGAATGTGATCATTCAGTTTAGTTCGCCTCTTGAAGCCTTAGTCCAAAGTATTGCTCTTTCCGAGGGTTCGTTTACCCGGCAGTTTTTTCAAAATATTGGCATACCACTAGGGCAGGATAAACCCGACAGAAACTTGGGGAGAGAAGTTGCATATGTGGCCTTGCAATACCTGAAAGCGCAACCGGGAATTGCTGGACTCGCGTGGACGACGATAAGTGAACAGGTTCTGCAAGATGGACGAGATCTTTCCCTAAAGTGTCTTACTGATTGGAGCAACAGTGTCCACGTTGCTATACAGTCTTTTGGATCATTGGATGGTGAGGTGGCGGTCGTTGATGATTCTTGGGAAAGACGGATTACCATTGCCTTTAAGAAGTATTTCCAGGCTGACTCTTGGCCGTCAGTTCTCTGTTTTCACTGGTTAATGCCTCTAGGAATGCAGTCAGTTTCTTCTCTGTGTGATTTACCCGTCAATCCAGATGGTGAACGCTGGTCTATAACGGAAATACAGGCGATGATCCGTGAATCGAGCAACCGAATCTCAAAACATGGAGTTTGTTAATTAATATCAGTAACTCCTGGAACTATTACAATTTTTACAATTTACAATTTTACAATTTAAAATTTGACCGGAATGTTTGTGTCACTTACACATCTTGTAAACATTCTGTAATTTTCATTTACAAGGAGAAATCAGACTTGTGTATGGAAAAGTATAATATTTTTTTCTATGGAAATTTAATTAAATAGCTATTAGAACAAATTTTGGGCAAAATTTTTGTAACTTATTTTTTTGGGAATCAATATAAAACAAACTATGGAATAGAGCCATAATCTAAATCAATTTTAGACCTTTTTGTGTTGCGTAAACAAACAAATTTAAGTTTGTCACAAACAAATTTAATATATAACTATCCTGACTGGGGGACTGCCAGCGCTGATTTTAAGGCAGCATAAGTATGGTTCTGGAATTTTGCAAGTTTTCCTAAATATTTTTGGACTCCATGTGTGAAACATTTGGCGAGGCAATATTGTACCAAAAAAAGTACAACGTAACCATGAACCCCTACCAACACTAAGTTTATGATTTTTAATTACATAACAATTTAACTACATTACAATTAAGCACTTCTGGTCCTGCATGAGCTTATGAGCGCATGCGCATGACGGCTCAGAGCACCTACTCACCAGCTCATCCTGCATGAGCGTATGAGCACATGCTCGTAACTGCTCATGAGCACATGCTCATTTGCTTATAAGGCCAGTTAAGGCCCGATAGCCCGAAGACTGGGTGTACATTCTTTGTTCGTGGAAGCCACCGCAAAAATTGATTAGTTTATATACACAAATGTATACATTTTCGTATTCGCGTGTTTTTGCCATTATAGTTTGTACCCGGCCGACCCATGTAAAATGACAAGAAAAGACACGTAATTGAAAAGCAATTTATTTTATGACTCGAAATTACATGCTGTGTCTATACTGATATGTTTTTACATGCTAATATATACTGTTCGAATGTATGACTTCAATCGTATATTCGACCTGTTAATCGAGTGTATTCATCATCATCATTAACCTCATCATCAGCATTCTTTTCATCAAAATCGTAACCCTTTAAAAGCCTTCTTAAAAGAAACTTTTTCATATCAACAGCAGCTTCTAACGCTTCTTCTTGATCAAAATCATCGTTTGACACAAGCGCATCTTTTGTGTGCATTATTTTCTTATGGATCTTTCTTTAGTAGTTTCATCCGCAAGAGATGCTCCATATAAATATTTTCCAGCTCGATCCCTTCCGGGGTTTTGACAGAATATTAGATCAAGTTTTGTCTTTGGCGCATTGCTTATCTACACCACCGTTTAAAGATTTCTTTGATTTTTCTATCAACGGTATCGAAGGGTCCATTTCCTCTTCAGTTTCTGACTCATTATCAGTCGTCATCGAAGTTTCAGACCCAGAAGTTGAAGTTGTCGAAACATCGTCTTGGAAATCCATTACCTGGCTATCCGAGTCTGTTTGAGACAGGTTTCTTTCTTGTGCACGCACGTAGGGGACAACACTCTTTTTCGTGTCTTCATATATTGTAACCACGGTTAAATTGCTTTCTGCAAAATTGGCAGTTGATTTCGTTAGCAATGACTGGGCAGAAATACCTTGCTATTGAGTAACACTGCTGTTTTATGAGCAAATGAACATGTGCTCATGAGCAGTTATGTGCATGTGCTGATCGCACACCCGGAAAGGGTTTACATCGACGTAACATCGATCAAACATCGACCTAGCATTCTACAGTACATATCAAGCGTGTACAAGAACTACGCATTCTACCAGAATGCATCGATGAAAATGCCACCTTAGAGTGCGGAAAAGGTACGAGGTGCGGATGTCTATTGGTGCAGTTGTAAAGACTCTTGTCATTTTTACATGGGTCGGCTCGGTTCAAATGAAAATGGCAAAAACACGTGAATACGAAAATGCATATATTTGTGTACATAAACTAATCAATTTTTTGTAGTGGCTTCCACGACGAAAAGAGTGTACAGTACACCCATGCATATGAGCATGATTGTGCTCACGAGCCGTTATGAGCATGTGCTCATACGCTCATGCATGAGGAGGTTATGATTGGGTGCTCTGAGCCGTTATGCCCATGCGCTTATAAGTTCATGCAAGATCAGAAGTTGAGTTGGCTTCAGACAAATTCACGCACAGTATTATGTAAAGCGTTGAAAACATTTGACTGGACTTTGAGCAAGAGCTCACAAAATTGTACCCGACATGATTTTGAAAATATAATAAAATAGATATACGTAGAGGACTAGTTCGGGTTTAAACCGGCCTTATGACAAGGGTTTCCCTTGGGCTCCCTTGGATTTCTCTCAGTGTTCCTTCGGAGGACGTTAATATGCATCCAAGCATAGCAGCATATTTTGCTCTAAAATCAGTACGATTTCACATTCGAGTTACTCCATTTGTCTCGCTTTTGAACTCTTCGTCATGAAAACACTCGCTGTGAACATATTATTCATTGCAAATGCTTTAGAACATGGACGACACTATCCTCTAACCTCGCTGAAGCTACCATTCAATGTGCTTATTGTGGAACAATATATCCTGATATGAATACTGCTTCCTCAGCCTAGACCTAGGCCTTCTATTTTTATTATTTTATATTTTTTTAAGATTCATCGCTTTTTCACATGAAAAGACTGGGACCAGGTGATTTGGGGGCGGGGCGGAGGAATGACACAAGCCTGACGCAAGCGGAAAAATAGAAGGCCTAGTGGATTTCCCAACAACAAGGCCAAAACAGCCCTGAAACTGCCCTGGTTGCGAAATGCTCAATTATTGCGTTCTCAAACAGAATTATTTGCAACTTAACAGCGAATTTAAACGGATACAGGTAAAATAAACTCATTTATAGTATAAACTTACTATTTTTATTTGTATACACGTCTAGAAAATCGGGTTTTTTATCATAAAGTTTGAAGCAACACTATTATTATGTTGACAAGGTGAAGCGAAAGTACAAAATAATAACTTTTATTCGCAAAAGACAATCTACTGTTTTGCTTTGAATAACTATATTTGCGAATTGGGAATGAGGATTTTGAAATTATTGTTCAAATATTACGGATATACCATTTGTAAACAATGTACGTTTTTATATACAGTACTGTACGGGCTAATAATATATGTATCCGTTTTATTTAATAAATTATACTTGTATATGTGTTTGTATATTTTACAAACACAAGACTGCTTCTTGCCAAAATTTATAAAATATATATTAATGTAGTTGTGTATAAGACAAAATTTCATGAAAGATTCTACTTTTGGTATATATTTTGACTCATTTTGTGCTTTCGCTACACCTTGTCAACATATATTAAATAATAGTGTTGCTTCGAACTTTATGATAAAACCCCCGATTTTCTAGACGTGTATACAAATAAAAATAGTAACTTTATGCTATAAATGAGTTTATTTTACCTGTATCGGTTTAAATTCGCCGTTAAGTTGCAAATAATTCTGTTCGAGAACGCAATAATTGGGCATTTCGCAACCAGGGCAGTTTCAGGGCAGTTTTGGCCTTGTTGTTGGGAAATCAACTAGGCCTTCTAGGCTTGGTTCCTTCGCCCCGCCCCCAAATCACCTAGTCCCAGTCTTTTCATGTGAAAAAGCGCTGAATATTAAAAACATGTAAACAAGACTAGAAGGCCTAGGTCTAGGCTGCTGCTTCCTATGTCTACAGCAAAATACAACGAAGAGCTCATGAAAACGAACTGCTGTCACTCTACAGTACATCACGAATGCAACAAAGACATCCGCCTCATGTTCTCACAATTATCCTTCGAGTTTACATTAGAGTGGTACAAACCACTTGATGTAATGGTCTATGGCTCGGCGTATAAAGAACACTAATCGATAGAACAAACATTTTCAAAAAGCAGTTCACTGAACTATTCGCGTAGTGATGTTGGATTAATACATGTTCCTCCGAATAGCAAGACATTCTGGGTTACTGGAGCGAAAATCATTAAAATATTTCTTCAAACATTTACTTTAATGTTAATTTCAAAACCGTTATTCCTTATAAATATGATGTATTCTTAAAAACAAAATTTTAAAAGCTATTTTTCGTTCATTATCTCTTTAGTGCGCACACCCGTGCACACACAATAACGTCACTCTTTTCACTCATTTACTTCCGGGGCTGGATGTACGCGGAGTAACACTACCGATAGCAGAAAAGAAAGACTAAAAATTGCTCTCTTTTATTCTCTAGTGCTTCCCTTGAGTTTGGCCGACTTCGGTACAGAATTAAATAATTAATTAAATAATCAATTTAAATATTGTTAATTTAATTTTTCTCAATTTAAATTTTTAATTAGTGTTACGAATATAATTCGCCTCCTGGACCAGTTCTATGGTGAAAATAATAATTTTTAAATAGTACTAGATAGTACATATACTGCAGTAATGAATGTATGTATGTATATGTATGTATGTATAAACTTTATTTCAACATGGAAATCTCATCATTACAAACAATGCTCTTCCTGAGAGCCGTGCATATATACAATTATATAAAATTATAAATCTATGTATAAATGTAGGAAGAAAGGAGAGAAAGGGAAACAAAGGCGAAACTAGATTTTACGATAATTTGAATGATTATAATACATATATACAATACAAGCATTAGAGACTAAGAGAATGTCGTATATTATTAGAAACCTTCGTTTTGAAAGCAATGGCATCCTCGGTTGATTTGATGTCATCACTTAGAGAATTCCAGGTGACCGCTCCACTGTATGCTAAACTATTTTTCATGAAGTTTGTGCTAGGTTTTGGAAGAGAAAAATTCACCTGGCTACGTCTTACATTGTAGTCATGCATTTAATTCCTTCTGGAAAATTGTGATGTTAGATACATACGTGCATCATTATTTGCTATTTTATGCATTAATAATGCCTTATTCAAGTGCCACCTATGTTCCAACGTAAGCCAGCCTAATTTTTCTAAAATTTCCGCAGATCTAATATTATAACCAGAAAGTGTGATAACCCGCCCAGCACGATTTTGTAATTTCTAAAGTTTCTCTTTAAAACATTTATTGCAGTTATTCCATACCGATGAACAATAGTCGAAATGCGGTTGTATAATTGCGTAATATACTTTCTTTAATGCGTCTACTGGAACAAAATCACGAATTTGTCTCAAGACACTAAGGCCACTCTTTACCTTCTTTACAGTATTACTTATGTGCTCATGCCACCTAGGATTTTTTTGTGTTTAACTCTCTTCAGTTTAACATTTCCTATGAATAAAGAAGGTTCCCTACTTAAGTTTCTAATTCGTTGGACTGAGCCAATGATCATGTATTCGCTTTTGACAATATTGAGACTAAGATGATTGGCTCTCAGCCAAATGTACAAATTTTGTAGATCTTCATTAATTCTGTTTTCCATAAGGTTGAAATTTTCGTTTCCCATAGTTGAAATTTTCGTTTCCGATGCTAGTGTCATCTGCATACATATTTGGTATTGTATGAGCGAAACAGCCCGGAAGATCATTAATGAAGATCAGAACCAGCAACGGGCCTAGTATCGATCCCTGTGGTACACCAAATTTTATTATACCCGGATTTGAAAGCACCCCATTCATAAAGCATTTCTGGCTTCTATTAGAAAGGTATGATTGGATCCATTTTAATTCGTCGCCAAAAAAGCCGTAATACTGAAATTTATTCAGCAAGATTGTGTGGTCCACAGCATCGAAGGCTTTCTTAAGGTCAACAAAAACAGCTATGTTCAAGTTCCCTTTGTCCATGTTATTGAGCCAAAACATAGTATCTTTATGTAAGGCCGTCAAAGTAGAGTGTCTAGGTCTGAATCCCGACTGATTTTGTGACAATAAGTTATTATCACTTAAATATTCATAAAATTGTTTAAAAACGATTTTCTTAAAAACTTTACCTATTACTGACAATACAGATATTGGTCTATAATTATTTGCATCCGATCGTTCTCCGCTCTTAAAAATTGGGGCTACCCTTGCACTTTTTAGGTCATCGGGAAAAATACCACTTATTAAAGATTTATTAAAAATAATTGAAAGAGACTCGGATATGATACCTGCAACACCCTTGATCACGTTACATGGTATTTTATCTAGGCCAGATGCCTTTTTAGAGGGGATATCCCTTATAGCAGCCGCAACGTGACCAGCACTAATGTGCTTAAAATTAAATTTACTTGTACTTTGATTCACCAGAGGAGGTTGGACAAGCAGACCGCAAAGCATCATGGGTTTGAGCGCCTAATTCCACGCGTGGCTTCAATGACTCGTTGACTGTCGTGGAGTGAACATCTCTCTGAGTAAACAAATATGGAAGCATTCGAAAGACAAGATAATTGTCAGGCTGCAATACTTCGTGAAAATAACATGTTATTGCTGTATTGTTGTGATCCTCATTATAACGTGTGAGTTACTATACCAAGTTTACTTTATATTAAATTGATTTGCATTGGACGTGCTGTCTTTTAGCTTTATAAATAATCCGCGAAGGAATTGTGTTTATTCCCAATAGCAACTAGCAAGGCTCTTCTTTCTAAGTTGGATGGCGTTTACTCCGTATATCATCAACGTGAAAACAAGCGCAGTATTTAAGGTTGGTATCCTACAATGCAATACAGTTGACTTGTTTCAAATTTCAGCTTTGCTGTTTTCAATATTGCACTGTAATTTTATAATACAAATTATGGCGCAATATTTCAAATATTAAATTCAACCCTTTAGTTTGACCCTATTCCTGATGAGTTTGCTAATCGATGTGGATCATATATTGACAGCGAATACAATTGATGATGGACATTGGTTTTAAGATGAGTCTGAAGGTATTGTTATTTGTATATATTTTATAAATTTTTGCTGAGTATGATGCCTGTTTGTATCTAGTTGGGGATGGTGGTTTAAATGTGCAAACTGTACTCTGTAGTTTAATATTTTTCAATTTTCATCTAAATATTGCTATGTTTGTGTGTTGTTCTAATACACAGACCTAACACAGTTAGGTATATTAAGAATTTAGAGGTTACATGTGCTTTTGTGTAAGATTGCTAATTTTAGAGATGACGGTGCATGAAATAATAATTTTCTTGTTATGATTTTGTAGAAAGAGATTTACTTGAGTTGTTGGCTAAATTCTTGAGCCTGTTCAGGATGGTATGATAATGAAAGAGGTGATCAAGGGCAGAAAGTGCTGACAAGTGGGCAGAAAGTGATGACAAGTTCAGTGATGAGGAGGAAGAAATCATCCAGGCTTTACCATTCAAGTGCATCGGTGCTGCTCATGAGAACCACTACCAACATCATTTGGAAAAGGCATACCTCACTCTTCATGAACAAGATAAACCAGGGAATGTAAGGATACGGCCAGAGTCATTGAATCCAAGGGACCCAAGTGCAATAGCAATTGATCCAGACTATGGAACTGGATGGCCCCATGTTGGTTATATATTGCTTCTGAACTATGCAAGTATCTGCACCCATTAATTGCTGCAAGAGATGTCGTGGATCTCTATGTTCAGCATATCAAGTATAGGGTTGATTTTTTTAAAATAGGATTTTATCCAAAAAATTTCATGGAGACATGGTTAGTGCATGGGAGACTCAAGTGGTAGGAAAAGCATGAGTGTATGTTGACAGATGTTTTTTATATAAATAATAGCATCTAACTATGTTTAGCAAGTTATTGAAGTGCATGTATTTCAATTGGCTAACTTTTTAGATTTTTTCCAGCATTTTTTAAACAAACCATGGGTTATAAATGATAACTTTCTATATATAATTAAAACAATCTGTCATGTACACTCATGCAAAATAAGTACATAACTGTAAAAATGTGCTTTAGTAAATAAATGAGTAATTTATCCATTGCCTTGACCTACTTTGTAATTTTTTTCAGATTAAAATCAATACAACAATAAAACAAGATGTCTATTTATATAATACACAAGTAAATTCCTGGTGTAACCATTCCCCCCCCCCCGCGGGACACCCCCGGGAATTTGCCTGATAGACAGTTCACGGGGGTCGGGAATTTGCCTGTCATATACGTACACAGGGGCCAGGTATTGTTATAATCGCTGAGGACCCCGGAAATTTGACAAATGGTTTCACTTTTGCGAAACTTATTACCTGTGCCATGCAAATTTAAATACAATACTATTTAAAGGTTTATGATTTCATTGTTTAAATCATTTTAAGGTTACAGAACACCTTTGAGTGTTAATTTTGCCTAAAATTTTTTTATTTGTTTCAATGAAAGCATTAGACTAGTTCTACTATCTGACCAAGTTTGAACGAAAAATGTTGAAAACTCGCAGAGTTATTTAATAAAATACATTTCGCTGCAATAAGAAAAACATTGAAAATGTAATATTCAAATTCAATTTTCTCCCGAAAAATTTTACGGTAATTACTGATTTTCAAATGAGTTGTGCTCCTGCGGGTTTCAACCAATTTTTCGCAAATTTTCACAGGTCATAGCTAAATACGTCAGTTTCAAAAACGTGTTCGGCTTTTTTTTAATTTTGGATATTTTAAAAATAAAGAGCAATTCACTCAAACAATTCAGAAATATATTGCAGTCGTCAAAGAAATCGCCATATCAGCGGAACGACAAAATAAACAAAAATTTCCGAACACAATTTTTTAGAACAACTATTTTACTGTATAAAAATGATATTTTCATAAATATAACTCAAAACCAGCAGGAGCACAACTCAAAAGCGTAAAGGTACCGCGATTTAAGATTTTCCTGAATAATTCTTACATTATTTTATTGTTTGTTAATTTTACAACTTTACCATATTTTGCATGCACTGGAGAACATTTGGTGCAAATTTGATGAAAATCGGACTGATATTGAACGCGCAGTAGCGATTTTCCGCAAAACGCCAAAAAGGGTGTCCTGTAACCTTAACCACTCTTAGCAAAATTAATGTTTATATTAAAGTTTTATAATATTCCATAGCAGTTTATTAAAGATGCGGTACAGTCCATATGTAAAAAAGGCTTTGTTTACACGTTGGTATCCAAAATATTGAATTTTATTCAACAACTATTTATATTTTCATGATTCTGGGGGATAATAAATTATCAAGACACAACAATTAAGCTTTGCAAGACCATAAAATGAAATAAAAACCTAAATAAACTGTTTGTATAATAAAAAGAGGGCTCCTTTGTGCACATGCGCAGATCGGACTGTATCGCATCTTTAATAGTATGTTATTAAATGACTATGCCTATGATATGCATTAATTAATTGTCCCCGGGGTGGGGCATTTTCCACTCTCAGCTTGCCCAAGTGCTGTGCATTAATTCCCTAGTTGTGTCCCGGCACCTGGGCATCAATGCACTAGCGTAACCAGTCAAATCAAATGCCTGGGTGTGTTCCGGGAGGGGGGGGGGGGCGATGGTTACTCCTGGAATTGACTCATGCATAATATTTATTAAATTTCAATAAATTGACCACAATAACATGCCTATGATACTTTATAATTTGATATATGATACAAGATAATACAATAAAAACTTGTTTTATTGTTTTAAAACAAGTGGAGCTCTCTGCTGGTTTGAAATGGGCTGTTATAACACTGAGATGACCATGCTGAAGATTCCGCAGCTCGATTTGCAACAAAAACCCCAGGATCAGGCGATCAGCTCGTATGGGAATATGTACACGATCCAGGCGCGTCCGCCAAAGACAAAAAAAAACTTTGAAAATCGCACAGATATAAATTCTACAAAAATATTGAAACAACTCCTAAGTCTTCTAAATAATATTTTAACACTTTAACAAAAATTCATTGAAAATATAATCTTTGATGGCGCAAATTCTTTCCAAGGTATTAGACGCCATTTTAGCGAGCGTCGAGCTGACAGTAGTCGCTTCAATGGCCAATATCTCGAAAACTGCCGGGGGATCACCGGGATCATTCCAGCAGATTTAAAGCTTATATTTTTTTCTTGACGACTGCCAAAAATGAGGAAAATCGAACCATGGGAATTCTAGATATTTCATTTTAAACATTGTAAACATATTTAGACTTGAGTCAACACGTCGCTGGGAGTCGTCTAACTTCAAACATCAAAATAACATTGAAAATAACGTTTACCTTAGAGATTTTTGCAGATATCACCAGATCTTTAGCCGTAGTACTACTACACTTGACATTTTGCAAAAAAATTTAATATTAATGTTTTTTCTCGATTTATTTTCCTTCGAATACAAATTTTTCTGCCCAAATTCTGCAGAAAACACGATGGCAAATAGAGCGATCTCATTGGTCGAGAGCTCACGTGACAACTCGCTAATTGCTTGTCCGACCTCCTCTGTTGATTCACATAGGTGCAAGGATTTAAAGTTGTACTCGGAATATCACGGGCGAGGTCCGGTCCCAATTTAATGAAATGTTCATTAAAATTTTCAGCTATAAGTTTCTTATCACTTATAAGACCCGATTCGTTTTTTAAAATATTTACATTAGTCCCTTTGGTAGGTTCGTTCAAACGGTTATTTATCAATTTCCACGTTTTCTTGGTGTTGCCTTTGTTCGCCTCAAGGTTTTGAATAAAGTAATTTCTTTTGCATGTTTTTAGCTTATTATTAACCTGGTTCCTCATTTTACAGTATTCGAACCAATTTGCTTCAGAACGATTTTTGACAGCATGCTTTTTTAGGTAATCCCTACGAAACATCATATCTCTAATATCGGATGTAATCCACGGGGCATCACGCGATTTCTAACTTGTTTAATTCT